GCGCCCGCCGACGACATGAAACCCATCGAGCTCAAGAAGAGAATTGGAGGGTGAGTGCGCCGTGTGTCCAGGAGGGACAGCCAAACTGCGTCCCTCTGGAGCGGCTCCTGCTTGTGCAAAGTGTTGTTGGAGCAGAAATGCCAAGACCTGTGGATGTTTAATGTCTTCAAATTGCTGAGAGCAGGGTTTTTTAGCTTGATGGGTTTTTATTTCTCTCCCTCACTCCACACTGTAAGATTTTGTGTAAGGATTTTTTTTTGCAGGCCAGAACTGTGTTAGGAAGCTAATCCCAGCCCTGCATATCTGATCTCAAGTGGTATCTCGTGTTATGTTTGGCAGAAGATCACTGCTTGTACTGGTCAGGGAAATCAAAGTGCACTGCTGCTTGTGGGAGCTTTCTTGAAAACTGGAAGGGGATCTGGGGGATGTTATTCTGAGGACAGAGATCACCAGTTTCTCAGTGCTGTAAGTGCTAAGGGCCTCCTGCTTACTCAGAATCTTGCTGCTGGAAGCGGCTGAAGACTATTTAGTCTGCCCTCACCCTCTGACAGGACTTGTGGCTCTGATGTTGCTCCAGGTTAGTGTTTTTCTGGCTTGTTCTTAAGGACTTTGGCTGGTGGAGACCCTGCCTTCTCTGTAGATGGTTGTTTCCAGACCACAGTATCCCAGTAGAGTCTGGTATTACTGCTTGTGGACTGGGAGAACAAATCATTCCCTTCTTTGCAGCAGTTTTACCTGTTTCCTTTGGCCCCTCAATTTTCCCGCAGCATAAGTGACCTGGAGCTGTGCAGGCTTCCCTGCTGGCGGTGCTGTCTGGGCCCCTGTTCCCCTGGCTGCCTGCAGCAGGGGGATGGCTCCTGGCAGTGGTGTTAGAGATGGTGTGTGAATGCCATGGGCACTGCTGGAGATGTATAGCGGACAGAGAAAAGGTTCATTGGGATGTGCAGAACCCAAAATGCATAGAAACAGTGAAAGTAATGCAGACAGGAGTTTGTGAAGATAAAGGCTTTAGTAAAATGACAGTTTAGTTCCTCTAAGCAGATTGAGATCTTGAGAGCCTGTCTGCTGCTGGAAGGGTCTGTTGGTCTGTGCACTAATGGAGAGAGCCCGTCACTGACGTTGTGTGGCTCCAGGAGCTGTGCAGGAGGTTTCTGCTGGCACCAGGGCAGGCTGCACAGGTTTGGCTGCCTGGGCTGTGTGCACTGGGGTGGCTGCAAGTGCACCCACAACCTGCTGCTGTGCTGCCAGACTGAGCTTTGCCCTGGCAGGTGGGGGGCTGTGGTGCCAGTGTGGAGCACAGCATCACCACTGCCTCCCCTTAGAATTGCTCCATAAGCACAGAAAAGATGTCTTTTTCAGCCTGTAAATGTTTCACGGGGAAAATGCTGTCAAATATTTGTGACAATTTATTAAATATTATTACCTCAATGTCCTGTATTTTCAGTCAAAGGCAAATAATTACTTTGCACAGTGTATGAAAGATTCTTGAAATCTCCACATCTGCTAATGTACCTTATCACTGAAAAACTGAGCTGAAAAACTGAGATAACATGAATTTGTTTGGCTTTTCCTAAAAATATTCCTCTGATTCAGAGAGTGGGTGGACTCCAACCCCGAAACCAGAAACTCACGGTGGTTTTTCCTTAAGCAGTGACTGGAGAATTCCTTTATTGCTTCATTTCATGTTTATCCTCAGCTGTGTTGTTTCACGCACAGTAAAAACCCAAAGTTGGAAGTGTCTGCTCAATCCCATAAGCTTGAATATGGAACTGCACAAACCTTGTCCCACTGGAGTGTAGGCATAGATCAGAACCAGGTCAGAATCTGGGCTCTCTGGGTCTGTGCAAATATTTAAAATCCATACTTTGTGTCGTTCCCTGTTGTTGGTAGTAGCCATGTCTATACACGCACACATCACACCTGTTTGTATCTTCTGTGCACTGTGTGCACAGTGCTTGGTTCCTCTGATGCACGTGTAAAGTATGGAGTTTATCTTGAAACAGTGTAGGCAGAAATATAGATGTACTTAATGTTAAACCAGTGATTCTGCTTTTGCATCTCAACATACAGACACTGCTGCAGGCACAGGTGTGAGGCGGGAGTTTTCAACCTGACACTGAGCTGATCTTTGTTCTGTTTGGGTTACAGGGTTGGGACCAGGGAAGTACATAATAAATTGGAGAAGAACAGGTGCGTAGAAAGCCAGGGGTTTGGGTTTTTTAATTGTAATTCCCCTCCTTTTTTTGGCCTATTGTCTGTCAATATTTGTTTGGCTTTGGTGGGTTTTTGTTTGTTTGCTTGCTTGTTTTTTAAACAGATAACCTGAATAAAATTCTTAGTGACTATTACTGAATTTTGCAGTATTGCTTGGCTTTCTTATAGCTTAATTCTGCATTTCTTGCTTCCCAATATGTTCTGTTTAACTGCACCATTGCATCCCAACCACCCTGATCCTGCAAAGCAGTAACAGTGCATAACAATGTGACTCTCTTTTGATTTAAAAAGAGTAAAATACCCCAAATGAGGGGTCAGTGTACAGTGTGAATACAGAATAAACATCAGTTTCTGACCCAAGACTCTTATAAGCCTGACTAGCTAAATTGGAAGTATGGTGACAGTGAAAGCACCAGCACAGTGAGGTGAGATGTTTTATTTAAGGCTGCACGGTGTTCCTAACAAAGCTGGGATAGAGCCCAGGCACAGGCCCTGCTGGGTGAGCTGGCTCAGCTGTGACGTGCTGTGCTGGGGGGCTGCTATGCACAGGTGTAGGTGCTTTGCTGGATTAAGGCCCCAATTAAGCTCTCCCCTCCGTGGAATTGGTTCCTGCTGTGTCTCCTGGCAGCTGACGACCCACTGTGTTTTCTTTAGACGTGCTCATTTGAAAGAGTGCTTTGAGACATTAAAGCGCAACATCCCCAACGTGGATGACAAGAAGACCTCAAACCTCAGCGTCCTCAGGAGTGCCTTGCGATACATCCAGGTACGTGCAGCGCTCGTGGGGCTGGGCAGAGCCCAGGGCTGACGTGGGGTGCGCAGAAATGCCCCTTCTGGGGCTTCCAGGGTAACCCAAATCATCCTTTCCTGAAGTGGTGATGGCACGGAGCAGATAATTCATCTCAGAGACCCAGGCTGAGTGAGCTTCAGTTGTTTCCTTTTGGGCCCAGGTGAATTTTAATATCTATGGTTTGGGGAAGTTTTCTGTTTGCTTAACCAAAAGACAGATTTCGGTAAAGATTTGGTATGTCTCAGAATTTTGGTGAGGGGGATGTGTGAGTACGAGTCATTTGCTTGGAGGCAAGGAAAGCCCAGAATGTGAGGCTGCAGCATGAGGCTGTAGGTAGATGGGGCACCACCAGGAGTGAATCTGGGAGAAAGCACAGGTAAAAATCAGTTGTGTTTGTAGCTGGAGGGAAATAAGTCTTAGTGTTTGCTTGTTTAATGTTTGGGAAAGTGGTTAATGGTAGCACAGAAGAAATTGTTGTAGATGTCCCCTGTGAGTGTGAAATCAGTAGTATGTAAGGCAGTTAAAATTCATTTGGCAACTGGAAGAGTTGCTGCAATTACAATGCAAATAGTGACCTAGTACACCTTGTACATTTTGACTGGAATAAAAGGTGCTGAGGATTGATCACAATGGTCTTTTCCACAGTAAAATGTAATCTTTTCTCACTTTGTTTCCATTTTTCCTCAGCCACTCTCAAACACCATTTCCCTCTGGTGTTCAGAATTGATTATTCACTTCAGCTTTGCTTTGGAGAGTCAGTAATGCCTCAGAATTGGACCAGTTCAGCCCTCTTCTTAGTTTTCACCAACAACTTCCCTCAGAGGGACTTTGGCTGGGGTAAATTCTGACTGTACCCAGCCACTCTCTGTGTTGCTCAAAAAAGTGGTTTTTGGGGGTGTGGTTGTACTGAGGCCTAATGGGCTTTGGAGATCTGGGCCTTTCTTTGGGTTTTGGCAGGCTGATGTTGTAGTTTGCAGGAGGAGCCTCTCTGATGGCCAGTCTGGNCAAATGAGCACCATTCGAATCAGGAATGCTCAGAGTTGATAGGAGTGATGGAAAATCCCCAGATCCTACAGGTGAGTGCCTTGGCCAGTGGAGTTTTGGCAGCTGGGACTGTTTGGGTTCCATTTGGGATTGTGTGGGGACAGCTTGTTCCCCAGCATCTCTCTGGTTCTGGTTGGAACATTTTTGGAGTCAGGCTGGTGGATTCTTGCTCCTGCTGTGAATCTCCTGCACCATGGCAGTCCCAGCTAGAATAAGGTCCTTAGGATGTAGGGTTTTTTCCATTCCATATAGGAATCAAAGCTCTGCAGCAGTGGAGAGCCTGACCAGCTGGTCTGGTCTGTGCTGGAGGTCCTGCAGGTCAGTGGCAACTGAGGACCCCCCTGGCTCAGCATGTCCCTTTCTCTGGCACCAGCTGTGATCCCCAGAGCAGAGTTAAAGATTATCTGGCTCAAAATTGCAAATCACTCTCCTGATTGCTTATTGATGAGGTATTTTCAATCAGCAAGTGTTACAGAAGAAAAGAGCTGAAATATGCTTTGGAAAACTCATAATTGAAAGTGTGTTTTTAAACGGCTAATAAAATGTTTATGAGGGGAGCTGTGTAATAAGGCCTTTTAAACCTCTCCAATGCCAGCCACAGGGCCAGCAGCATTCCTGAGGCAGGTGCAGGGAAGGCATTGGGGGCATTATTTCTGTCTTGACAGGAGAGTGAGCAATTTAATTACAGACGGCTATAAAATGGAAAATTCTTTGCAGTGACAAATGACTGTTGCTATACAAGGAGAGCAGGAGTTGGTGTATGGTTTGTTTACCAAATGATGACAGGGAGATGCACACAAGGACCAAAGAGTGGCTGCAAACCAGCCAGGATAGTGGGCACAGAGTGGGGAAGAGCTCTCAGTGGAATTGTGTCAGGCCTTTGCTGTCACTGCAGTCGTCTGGTCTTGCTTCAGTAATCCAGGTGCATAAAGGCTGCCAAGGAGCTGACAGGTACAGAGGAGAATCAGATGCTCTAGGGGGGCCAAAGCAAACCCACATGTGGATTTTAATTTGGTTGCTGGTGTTTAAATAAAAGATGAAGGGGCTCCCCACTGCCCTGTGTCCTTGTCACAGCTCCCGCCTGCCCCCGAGCAGCCCCTGCTGTGCCCGTGCAGTGCTGCACTGAGTGCTCAGAGAGGAACATCATCTGCTTGCACCACAGCCAGCAGCTGATTTGCAAAACTTCCCAAGCATCAAAAGCCATAGATGGAGTCACAAGAGTATGAGGAAATCCATTATTTCTTCCTGGGGTAGCTCAGCTTCCCCCTTGGCATGGCCAAGGCCTACTCTTTTCAGTGATGATCATGTGGAATTTTTTTAAGTGTGAAAAATAAAAGAGTTCTAAAGTCATAGCTTCTGTAGGTTCCTCACACTGCAGTGTAACAGTTGCCTGGGCAACCAGGATTCCCAATTGCTTAACAGGAAGAAAAGAAATGCTGCAATGATGGAGATGCAGACGTAAGAAGGAGGGTCTGTGCTGGAGCCTGGTGCTTGCAAAGAGCAGCCTGGGATGGGGTGGCCTCAGTGAGAGCCACCCCCAGCTTTGGGCTGCCCTCTGCAAACAGAACAGAGCTCGAGGGCCATGCCTGGCCTTCCTGGGACCAGCCTAGCCCGGCCTCTCCCTGAGGAAGTGGGAAAACAGAAATGCAGGTAACTTCAGTGATTTTTCTGCTGTGGAGAAACAGGATCAGTATTTCATGAGCCAGGTTAAGTGTGTGTCCTTCAGGATCTTGGCAGGCACCTTAACTGCCATCCCAGGTGCCGGCCCCAGATGTGACCCCTTGCCATGGTCCTTCCCAGTGGCTGTGGAGGTGGGTCAGGTGGCAGCTCCTGCCCTGCAGCTGACCCAGGCCTCTGCCTTACTGAAATTTCAAAGGAAAGGTGGTTAGGCATTTGTATGAATTTATTTTATCAAATTTAATTCTCAATTACTGTGTTGTTTGTAGTTTTAGGATCCCCTCTGCCCTTCTCAGTGCTACCATTACATTCCCATTCTGTTGGAAAATTGCAAAGGCTTGGGTTTGGGGAAAAGTGTCTGTGTGGCTATATGTTATTTTAAAGCGTCTGGTTTTGTATTGCATGGGATCCATGGTGGTAGTGCTGACAGAAACTCCTGTTTTAGAAAAACATCCAGGGGATCAGTGTGAGTCTCTAAAGGTTTTGATGTGCCGGGGCAGGTCAGTGACCGCAGTCCCAGTGACTCAGGGTTGGCTGTCACTGTGGACTTTCTGTTGACTGACGGGAAATCCTGGCACCTGGTGTGGGCAGGATGATTTGCAGAAAATAATCTGCCAGGAGGCGGGTGCCAGGAGCTGTGTGTGCCCGCAGGGAGAGCACAGGGTCCCTGCCCCTGTCCCTGCACGGGTGCTGCTCTCTGCTCTTGCTCCCCGGCTCAGCTCCCAGTCCCTGCAGAGCCCATGTGCACCTGCAGAGAGTGGGCAGTGCTGGGAGGGGAGCTCAGAGGAGAGGCAAGAGGGCTCCAGTTAATCCCACCCAGTTCATTATGAGGCCAGAGCAGCTCAGCCTGGAGATGTGTCTTTACCCAGTGAGCTCCGGTGAATTGCATCCTAGAACAGGTTTTGAAATATTGTGGGTTCCTCCAGCCCATGTGCTGCTCCAGCCTCCCCAGCAGCTCTCCTTGGAGAGAACCCAGCCCTGCCGGAGCCCTGGGAGGAGATGCAGGCCCAGCACGGGGCTGCCGGGAGCTGGCACCCAGTCAGGAGCTGGGACTGCTGGCACGGAGGGAGGCAGAGCCCACAGGGCTGGGCTTGGAGCAGTGCCATGTCCCCATGCCTGTGGAGTGCCTGCAGAGTGACACAGTGAACTCCCTGGCTCTCTTGTCCTCGTGCTTGCTAAGGGTTTGCCTGCCTGCCTTCCCAGTAATTAAAAGTTTGTAACTAATTACCAGCGGCCCTGCTCGTACTTTGCAGTAGTGCCTTCCCCCGGTGCCGGGAGTCTCCTCTGGCAGCAGGGAGCGAAGCCAGATCTGTTTGAATATGCGTGTGCTGTGCCCGCTGCGGCGCGAGGCGGCTGCGGGGATTTCTGTCCTCTCGTGCCCTGCGTGGAGATGCTGCAGAGGGGGACTGGGCTCATGTTTGCACAGCAGGCTTAGCCTCAGCCTTTCTTCTACTTGCCTCTTTCCTGATGACATAGTGAGGGGAAGACATTCAGACAAGTTGCATGCAAGTCCTGCGTGTTTAAACCTGATCTGGGAGCGTGCACCTTCCTCATCACCTTCCCCTCCATCACTCCCTGTCTCACCCACACCCCTTTGCTAGGCAATCAGAGCACACGCAGCACATGACTTTTCTGGGTCAGGCAAAATGCTTTGGCTGCACTCGACAGGAAACAGACTTTAAAACCAGCCTGTGGATTTGGGCCTCAGCCACATGGGAATCTCTGGGCTACAGGTCAGGGCTGGTGCAGAGCCAGGATTCCAGGAGTCCCCATCCTTCCTTTCTGGCTGTCCCCACAGCTACTTCCCTGCAGTGGGCTGCTGGGCTTGCCCAGGACATGGTGTTGGTCTCTCTGCTGCCTGTTTGGCTTGAAAAGCAGCAGGAGAGAAAGAACAGCCCCTTTTTCCTGAAAACCCTCTGTTTTGAGAGCTTTTAGCTGCTCTGGAGGGAGAGGAGCTGTCTCCACTGACACACCTGCAGTGGTTGTGCCCTGCTAACACACATTGTTTGGCTCTTTTAAAAATACTTCCTTTATTGCTGTTACTGGGACAAAGGTAGCTGGCAGGAGCTGCCCTGATCTGCGTTGCCTTAGGCTGCATTAAAGGCTGGCTGAACAGGCTTTAAGGTCCTTCCCAGCAAACCTGTGAGCTACAACACCAGCAGAACGATTGAAAGGCGTGAGGTCAGGCTCTGATTGTACTCATCCTGCAGAACCTGAGAGAGAAATAAGGAGATGTGTTAAGAAGACCATGAGCCTGGTCCTCTGCCAGGTGTGGGGTTTGCTTTTGAGCTCAGTGCTTGCCAGCAGTGAGGGAACACGAGCATCCATGTGGGCTCTGTGTGGCTGGTATTTTCAGAAGTGTGTGTGGGATTTAAATTCCCAGTGTTGAAACTTTACTTCAGAAAATGGAGAGTCTGTATGTGGTTTTACAGATTTCACCTAATTTTGTCTCTTATGCATATAGTAAGTGTGGCCCTGGGCTGAGGGACCAGGTCTCTGACTGTGCAGTGCTACACTGATTTAAAAACTCATAGAGCAGGCCTTGGAATGGTTGTTCCCCCCGGGGAGTGTGGTTTGTATTTCCCAGCAGTGGTGCTGGGCAGTGTGGGTCATTCTCTGTATTGTGCTGACTGATGCAGCAGCTCCCCTGACCTTATCAATGGATGTGGTGATTCCCAGCACCAAGGGGGCATAAGCAGGAGAGGACAACAAACACCTTTCCTTCCTGTTTGACCTCAGGATTTCCCCATGATGCAGGGGCTTGTTGGTTCTACCATCCACCATCTCCTCTCGGTCAGGAGCTCTTGCTCAAAAGCTCATCAGTACTTAGGCTTTTTCTTTCCTTCTAAGCATTTCCGTTTTGGGGCCTTACCAGTTTTCCCTCAGAGAGCAGATGTTCAACTAGAGCGATGCTTTATGTGCCAGCTCTTGTCCTTCCCTTTCTGCCTGCATTTGGCAGGTGTAGATATACCTGAGCACGTTTTATACCAGCATAACTGGCAGTATAGAATAATGAGCTGTGGACATGGGAGTGACCAGATTAGTGTAGGTTATTCTTGTCTTTGTTCTCATTATATTTCTCTTTCTTTTCTTTGACTTCAGACTTTAAAGAGGAAGGAAAAAGAATACGAACACGAGATGGAGCGGCTGGCGAGGGAGAAGATCGCTACGCAGCAGCGGCTGGCAGAACTGAAGAACGAGCTGAGCCAGTGGATGGATGTCTTGGAGATTGACAGAATCATTCGGCAGACAGTTCAGCCAGAGGATGACCAGGCATCTACCTCGACAGCATCAGGTACCCACAATTGCTCTCTTTTTTTCGTAATTATCTTGGAATGTCATTGACACAGTTACATGGAGTGGTGGGGATCTTCATTTAGCAGCATCAGGGTTTCTTTGCATTCAGAATAAAGTAAGAGGTTTTGGAGTTTTTGTAATGATTGATGTTGCTAACAACACACGGCTGCTCATGTGAAGTAAACTGAAACTTGTGTATGAGTGTCAGGTAGATATAATGTGCAGGTTTGCTCGTCTGACATGATTGTGGAGATAAATCCCTGCTTTCCAAACTTAGCTCTTTTCTTGCACATTTCTGCAGCCCTGTTCATTAGAAGTAGGCATCCTGGTGTATTTGTGTGGATGTGGGAGGGTGTTCAGCACATACAGAAGAAGGATTTGGTACAGGGAGGATCGCCAGAGCATTTGGACAACTTGATGAGCCTTCACATTGCGTGAGGAGGATTCACAGTGAAGATGAAATGACACTAATGGATATCTGACATGCGGTTCCAGTGAGAAGTTTCTGTGAGATAGGAGAATGCATGCTTCTCTCCACGCCAGGGATCTGCAGCAGGAAGAGTAGGCAGTCTGTGGCTGCAGAGCTTTCCAGAGACACGGAGGCTGTAGCAGTGCAAAAGCATTTACAGCAGTTCCTTCAAGTCAGCATTTGCTCTTGGCATGCCAGGCAGATGATATGGCAGGTTCTGGGAAGGGAAGACCAGAATTTGTTCAGGCTCATCACCTCTGATGGTAGGAGCAGCTCCAGGTGTAGTCTGATGGAAGTTGGGAGTGCCAGTGCTTTGTCCTTACAAGTGCCAGCTGTTCCCTCTGCAGTGGCCTCTGCTGAAAGTGACCACATCAAGCTGCTGCTTCCCAGAGCTTGGGAAGGGGAAGTGGCTTCCTGGTGTTCCTGCTGCTTCTGTGTCTCCTGAGATGTTTATTCTTTGCTGCATGGCTGGCACTAGAACAGGCAGTGCAGGGTGCCAGGCTTGCCTTCTTGATCTCAGGACTAGTATGTTCCTGTTTTATGTTCCTTAGTTCCTGGACTAGACAAGAGTCCATTTTCCAGAACCAGATGAGAGACTTGCTGCCATGTTTCTTCATGGCAATTTCCTTCCTGCTCTGGGAGCAGAAGGATGGTGCCGATCATTGGAACAACTGGCCAGGAAAGGAAACCCTGTTCCTCCTCCCAGGAGCTCGCTTCAGGCCAGACAGCTCAGCCAGGTGCTTTCTGTCAGCCTCTGCTCATGGCGCTCCCCTTGCCTGCCCAGACAGACCTCTCAGCCTTTTGGGAGCACCCTGCTCTAGCTGGGTTTTCGAGCTCTCACACGTGCCTGGTCCTTGGCCCACAGGCAGTGAGGAGTGGGCTGTGCCGTGCCATACCATACCGTGCCATTGTGCCGCCAGCCTGTAGCTCAGGGACGCCTCCTGCACGTTCTTTCTGCTGCTGCTGCCTGCTAGGGAAGCTCGTTGGTCCAGTTCATGCTCTGCGTGCGTTGTTATGGGAGTTTCTTCCTTTCGTGTTTTCCAGAGGGTGAAGACAACATGGATGAAGATATGGAGGATGACAGGCCAGTGAACTCGTTACCAAAACTCACCCAGCGCCAGCACCCGGAGCTGCTGAAAGCCGTCCCCCCCAGTGCCGCTCCCCCCCTGCCCGCGGTCCTGCCCCCGCACGTGTCCATCCAGCAGAAGCCCCACGCCCAGCCCTCCCTGCAGCCGCAGGCACTGGTGCCGCCGCAGGCCATCGTCCCCGCACAGACTCACATCGTGGCGGCCTCGACCGTGCAATCGACTGTTATCGCCCACACGGCCACCACCCACGCCTCGGTCATCCAGACTGTCAACCACGTCATTCAGGGGCCACAGACCAAGCACATTGCTCACATTGCACCTTCCACGTCCAGCCCCGTGCAACTCACCACTGCTGCTCAGCCCATCGGCCACATCACTGTGCACCCGGCCACCATCAACCACATGGCCCACCTGGGCCCGCAGCTGCCCATCTACCCCCAGCCCGTGGCCGTCAGCCAGCCCGTGGTGAGCCACATCGCTCACACCATCTCGCACCAGCAAGTGAACGGCACGGCGGGCCTGGGCCAGCCGGCCGTGATGGCCAAGCCGGCCGTGGGAACCCAGGTCATGCATCACCCGCAGCTGGTGGGCCAGACGGTCCTAAACCCCGTGACTATGGTGACCATGCCGTCGTTCCCGGTGAGCACGCTGAAGCTGGCCTAGAGGGGACGCTCCACGGCGAGCTCTTGTTGGGAACCTTTCCTAAGGAAACTCCGTACATTCCAACCACGCCCGGCCCGCGGGAGGAGGCGCGGAACGCCCAGGGCGGCGGGGCCGGGTTGTGCGGGTGCCCGGGCTGTCCCCGGTGCCCAGCCTGTCCCTGTGCCCGGCCTGCCCCTGGTGCCCGGCCTGTCCCTGTGCCCGGCCTGTCCCTGGTGCCCGGGCTGCCCCCATGCCCGGCCTGCCCCTGTGCCCGGCCTGCCCCTGTGCCCGGGCTGTGTGGATGCCCAGGCAGTCCCGGTGCCCGGCCTGTCCCCGGTGCCCGGCCTGCCCCCGTGCCCGGCGTGTCCCTGGTGCCCGGGCTGTGTGGATGCCCAGGCAGTCCTGGTGCCCAGCCTGTCCCCGGTGCCCGGCCTGCCCCCATGCCCGGCCTGTCCCCGGTGCCCGGCCTGCCCCCATGCCCGGCCTGTCCCCGGTGCCCGGCCTGCCCCCGTGCCCGGGCTGTCCCCGCACCCAGCCTGCCACCAGGACGGGGCCGCGCCGCGCTCGGGCCGCGCCACCGAGAGACTTCAAAGACAGTTGTTCATGGTGATTTTTTTTCCTTTTATGTGTAATGAGTGAACTATGGATATGATGTTCTTAAGACTTTAATTTCGCCCTCTTATGTGTTGCTTCTTTGTAGAATAAAAATTGCTGATCTCTTTATTGAGACATTGCGTAGAATGGGAAAAAAAAATCATAGAAGTCTATATTTATATATATGTGTGTATGTGTGTGTATATATATATGTATATACATATATATATATAAATATAACATTTGAAGGCCTTTTGTAAGGTTGATTATTTTGCAGGATTATGAGACAAAATTCATTTTTGGAGGAAGAAGCCAGAGTGTCCTCTCTAAACAAGAAACTATAAGATAGATGGTTTGGTGGACCAGAGTACAGTGACAAAAAACCCCCAACAACAAACCACGAGTCAAACCATTTTAAAGGTATCTCCCATCAATATATTACATTTCAAAAACCATCTAAAATCACTGTGACTTGTTATGGCATTTTAAGGAAATTCTCTGTCCTGTCTAATAAAAGGAAAAAGAATACACAACCAGACTTGATTTGTTGCCATTTTATAAATTACTTGATTTTATAGCTATGTCAAAAAAATACAGGTTTTTATTATTTTAATGATTGACAATGCTTTGTTTGCCTGTTTTTGGAGGAATTTGTATTTTGTCTGGCTTGGTTTGCTGATGCAATAATTGGTTTTGCAGATCTCTGTGCATGGCATGGCCCTGGTCAGGGTCCCTCCTGCCGGTCCAAGCTCCCCCCAGGTTTCTTGGGTTTGTTGTTTGGCAGAGGCACACGCTTTGTGCTGGCAGCTTGCAGGGCGTTGCTGTGGCCTGGTGAATGGAACCTGGGACAAGAAGATATAGAGAAATGAGGTAGATTTGCTGCATGGTTTAATGTTTGTTAGTTTGTTCTGTCCTGACCACGCTTTGGTGTGGGAGCCGGTGGGTTTGGCAAGGGATAAAAGGGGATGTGGTTCCCTTCCAGAGCACAGGCAGTTCAAGCAGCTTTGTTCCCTTTGACAAGGAAGCAGTCTCTCCTTACGCAGGATAAGGCTTTGCTGCAGGAGATCAGTGTGAGCTCGTGTCTGACCGTGAGATGTGCACCAAAGAACCCTCATCCCTCAGGACCCTCCCGTTCCCCCTTCCGGGATTGGGGCAGACCTGTTAGGTCAGTGGCAAATCCCAGAGACCAGGAGAGGAGGAATGCTGTTTGGCCCTGCTGGTATCTGCCAGCCTGCCCGGGAGGCTGCTTAGGGTGTGTTGTGCTGCTCTCTGGATGTTCTGGTCCTTGCACAGTGTGTGGAGCTGCTGCTGTGAATGATCTCCATTCTGTCTTCCTCTCTTTTTAAAACAAATATTCCACGGTCCTTATTGCAGGCAAAATGCTGCAGCAGCCAGCAGCCCCTCTCCTAGGGCAGGACGGGAGGGTGGTCCCACACCTGCCCAGGAGCTTTGGGAGGGGAGGAGGGGGTGGCTGAGCTGTGTCCTGTGTGGGGCCGGGGTCTCCTGCAGGAAAACAGCATCCATACTCTGCCCTAAGGACCTGTTGGCTCTAGCAGGACTTCAGCCTGTTGGGGACTGGTGTGAGCAGTGTCAGGGCTGTTACTGAGAGCATCTGCCTGTTCCATACTATCCCCAGATAAAACTGGTCTGAGGCAGAAGTGACTGCAGAGGTCAGGGGTGATTGTGCCTTCTGAGCAGGTGTCACTGGGAATTCTCTGAAGTCTGTTCATAAAGCCCCAGTTACCACTTGTTTTATTTTTCTTTCATGCATTCTTAAGTTCAGGAAAGTCTTGGCTGTGCTTGCCAGCACAGCTCCTGCAGAATGGACAAACCTCGAAGGATTTCTTTTCATAGAACCCATTTAAGCAGATCATTTGTTCTCATTGCAGTGCATCATTAACACTGGGGAATTCCCAGGACTGCCAGGACTGTGTTGGCCTCTGTCCCTGCAGGTGCTTTCCCAAGGAGGCCATTGTGTGCCAGTATTTGAGAGACAGGGCTGGGTATGGCTCAGTTTCTCCTCATCAGAAACTCCTCAGCGCTGAGCATGTGCAGCAGGGTCGCTCCCTTCTCTGGAGGGAGTGTGGCTTTGCCCTCTGCAGCAGTGTCAGGAGGGGGGAGGACATGTTCTTCTGCCTTTTTTTACTGTTCCAGCTCACAAAAGGACAAATTCTCTTCATGGAAGGAGAAGGAGCCAGGTTGAGGATGTGCTCAGTGCAGGAGTGTTGGCTGAGCCCCAGGGAGATGAGCTTGCTGCTGGGTTACTGAATGGCCTGTGCTGTCTGGCCAGGGGTGCTGCTGACCTCATCCTCTGCTCCCTTATGGTTGAGAGCAAAAAGTGCCCCTGCTTTGCCCAGTCCTGTGTCTTGGCCAGTTTTTCTTTCCCCTTGGAATTGTGCCATGCAGTCTGTTTGTCTGATCCCATTCATGGGTGTTAGCCTCCCATCAGGAACATCCCCCTTGGCCTGCCCAGGAGCTGCTCCAGATGTTGTGTGTACCCCTGTTTTCAGCTGCCTTTTTCAGGGCTACCAGAAACATTCTTTGGGATTTTTCTTTTTGTTTTTTAAGTCAGCAAACTTCTCTCTATTCTGTGGTAAGAAGAGCAGCCACAGCCCTTCCTCTTCCACCTGTTATTCCTGCTCAGAAACTTTGGATTTACACTGATGCTCTTAGAAATCCCGTTCAGTACTGTATGACAAGGGGCACTTTAGGAATGTCTCTCCTCCTTTGATATATGTTTTCCCTATGGAGAAAGCTATATATAAATATATATGTACACTTGGGGATTCATAAGATCTAATTTGTCCCCCCAAAAACCAATAAATATATGAAGTTTACAAAAAATCTTTTCTGTTGTTGAATAATATTAGTTATTGGTAACCATGCCACAGAAACAATAGAAAATGAGGTTTCTGCATAGTGGTTTGAGAGGGTTTTCTGTCCTGTCACACCTGGCTCGGAGCCTGTCGGTCAGTGGAGCTGGTTCTGCCGAGGGCAGTGCCCTTGCAGCCCAACGCTCCATGTCCTGCTGCCAACAGCCAAGTGGTGCTCAGGAGCTGGGGCTGTGCTTGGAGCTCAGGCAGCACGTCCGGGGATGCTGGCAGCTGGGCACTGTGTGGGCACTGTGTGGGCACAGCACCCCGGGATGCCCTCGGGGCACCTCGTGCTGGGCAGTGCCAGCGCACCCGCCAGGGAGGGGCAGGCAGAGGGCACAGAGCCCAAACTGCTGCTTTGAAACGGTCCTCAAAAGAGCTCTTAACGCTGACACTTTAGATACAGGAATGTATTCCTGGCCTCACCAGTAAATTTTGCCAGATCTGTGTAGTTTATCTTAGGAAGGGAAGTGATCTGATTTCCCGTGTTCTCTGCAGTTGTTTGCGTGGGATCTGAGAGGCAGCGGGTCGTGTGTCCCTGGGGGCAGCTGAGGACCCTCGTGTGTCCCTGGGGGCAGCTGGGGACCCTCATTTCACATGGGGAAATACGGGCTGGAGCCAAGCTGCTGCCGTTGGGGTTTTTCTGCATGTGTGTGTGTGTGTATGTCCATCTGTCTGTCCGTGCTGGGGCCGAGTGTTGGGTGTCCAGGCCAGAAGGGCTCCAGTGTCACTGCTGGGCCCCTGGCACAGCTGGGTTTTGGTTTCTTGAGCAGAGCTGGACAGAGGGGATGGCCCTTGCAGAGGCCTCTGCTCTCGAGGTGCCCACGGCATGTCCGGAGCGTTCATCATCCCACTGAGCCGGCTGCTGCTGCTGCTGTTGGGCTCCTTGTCTTTTTTTTTCTTTGTTTTATTTCAAAGTGGCCTTCTGTAACAAAAGAAACAAAAAAAATGCCTTTGGGTGGTTTAGGTGGAGGTGAGGTGTCGCTGCTGTGTCGGTGTCGGTGTGGTTGTCCGTGCACGCCTGGTAGATTCCTGTAGACATGCAATGCAAGGCTTATTGTGTCTGGTTTTTGTATGTAGCCTGTGTCTCTTTGGACTGGTTTGCATCCTGAGGGTGTTTTTTGCATTTAAAGAAAAAAAGTGAGAACTGTTCCAGGTTGGGTGGGTACAAGGGGCTCTGGGGACCTCCCGTGTGCCAGGGGTCGGGGGGAAGGTGCCTTCTGCCCCTTGTGATGATGTGGTCAGTGCTTGTTTGGCCCCTTTGCTTTCTGGGATGGGTATCCAGTGTCCCCACTGTGTCTGCGGGGTGAGCAGCCTTGGCCAGATGAACCAGGTGACCTCTGCTTACCTGAGCAGGACTTAGGCTCAGCCTGTCTGGGTATTTAGGCACTTGCTTAATTAGCTTAGTTAGATACATGGCTGCTGCAGAGGGCTCCTGGAGCTGGTGTGGAGGTGGGCAGCTCTGAGCACTCACAGGTGAGGCTCCTCTGAGACTTGGCATGTTTTTTTCTGAGCAGTTGTTCATTCCAGTCTTATTTTGATTCTAAAAGCTGTGGGGGTGAGGAGAGGAAAACCCTCATACTTATGGCCTGTTTTCCATCCCTTGGTATCATTTGGGACAGATTAAAATGGATTATAACACTGTCTATAGGTTATTTCCTCCCTGAGTGAAACATCAGTTGTTAGAAGCAGATATTTAGTGTTAAGGAAAATAGGC